TTAGTGGACCAGCACTTGCCTGTTGGCTGAGATGTGTCTTTTCAACTGTTCATAAGTGATGAACATCACAATATTCCAGGAACCAAGACGCAGGAATGATGGGAAGAATCTACAAAAAAGTAAGAATTATTTACAATTAAAAAAAGAAAAAAATATATTGGTGTCTACGTGGCATTATAGTTTTACTTCAGAGGAAATGATTAAAAAAGATGGCTGGAGGACACAATGGCCGAAATCTATATATATAAAGCTGTAGCCTCTGTCTGTTTGTCATTGAATTTTTCCTAGGGTTTTGGAGATAGACCCCCATAACTATATACATTCTGAAACTACATTACACAGGATACTTGGATAAATATATTTTATTTTGATCAAAGGGGGCCCCAGGGGGAACAAACACCCCAATGAAAATTTTATTCCCTTTGATTTAAATTAAATTTAAATTTGAACAAGGGAATGACTCCTATCCAAAATAAAGAAGGAGAAAGCCAGAAGATGAAGGTCACATCGGCAAGATTGAAATGAGACAATATGGATGTCAAGTTGAGCAAGAAATCACCAATCAGTGGGTAGTGCCTTATAATACATATTTGTTGTGACAATTCAACTATCATATCAATGTTGAAATCTGCTCATCAATTCATTCAATCAAGTATTGCATCAAATACATATCAAAGGGGGTCAGATCAAGCTGTTTTTACACCCTCCCACTGAAATTTGTTTTCCCTTTGATTTAAATTAAATTTAAATTTGAACATGGGAATGATTCCTATCTAAAGTATAGGAAAAAAGAGGTGGTCACATTGGCAAAATCATTAAGTAATATTGAAATACATCATTTTTCTCCACAAATTAATACAAAATGATTTAAAATCAATTTCTTAGAAAAAAAATGTGGGATACACAGAAAAGCGTGGATACTTTGGCTAGTGTAATAATAAAAATGATGAAGATATTAGTCTGAATGTAAATAATGTATACAAAAGTATATATTGAAAATTAACAAAATATCAGAAAAAGAAATTAAGTATCCAACAACAAATATGATTGGGTTTCATTCGTAATATATAAACTTTTGAAAAATTAATTAATTTAAATATTTTGAAACAAAAATGACATTGAGAAACATGCTATCAAGATTAAAGTAAAAATTTTGGTTAATTTTGTTAACACTCCAAGGTTATTTATATTGTCTTTTTGTAATGGCTGTTTGCAGGAGAGGCTTTGTAAATTACAGATACAACAATAGTAACACCTTCAAACAATACTCAGTCTGACGCCACTAATTCCCATATATATATATATATATATATATATATATATATTTTTTTTTTTTCCTTTACCCATCATGTGATCTAATTATTTCAAGATGAGGTCGACTGTGTTTGTTCTCTGGCGATCTGTGTTCAAATCCAAGTGTTGGTAGCAACACTTTATTTCTATATAACACACCTTCAGTACATTAAAATGATTTGCCAAACAAATTTATCTTGAAATCAGACAAAAGATTCGCAGAAGAGGATGAAGATGGATCAAGAATCCATTAAGTATTCCTCAAATTTTCAAAATGTTTTTTAAGTATCTTACTTATTATAAAATGCAGATTGTGTGTGTGTGTGTGTGTGTGTGTGTGTGTCTGTATGTTTATATATTGGATCGGATTTCCTACATTTTTCAACCGATTTCAACAAAACTTCACAGGACTACATAAAATTACCTTGCAGTGGTTCTAACAGCGCCAAAAATTGGAAAAACAATTGTTTTTGCACGAAATCAATTTGAAAACACGATTAAGAGGCATCACGAGAATGAAAGGGGGACAACTCATATCGAGTTATACTTATTATAAAACCCAGGTTGTGTGTGTGTGTGTGTGTGTCTGTTCGTTTATATATGGGATTGGATTTCCTACATTTTTCAACCAATTCAACAAAACTTCACTTTGGGGGGGGGGCAGGTAGTGTTTCTTATTGTCTTGCACACTTTTTTCTTTATTTTTACATTCAGAATGCTTTAAAAATTCCATTTACAAGACAATTGTTTATAATAAAATTTTATTCAATCGGTAGACTCATAACAATTGAAAACAATGTTTTTGTTTGAGTTTGGGTTTGACCAATTCGTAAAAAAAAAAAACTAATTAAGACATGCGTGTCCATCAACCTTAAACAATAATCTTTGTCAATTTTATTTTTCAGTCTTTATGATGGTCGATACTTGATCTATGTCTTACTGTTACATCCCTGGGCAACTACTGCTAGTCTCTTATAAAATTAAGTGCTTCCTACAGGATGCCAATTAGGAAATTCACCCAATACAAAGCTTGAGGGACAGTCAAGGTTATTGGTAATACAGAAAGAGGTGGACAACAGCAATGAAAGAGAAGGTGGTAGGAAGTGAAGATTACGCAGATAAGGAGGGTAGTGATTGACCCTTTATTTGAAGGGCTTAAGACTGTATTGTTCAGAGAAGCATCTACATGGGTGGCTATTCGACAACAGTTCTTAAGAAAAACTTTCTCTTTTGGAATACGAAAGAAATGGGGGAGGAAATGAGAGAAATTTGACTAAAGAGTCCCCCCCCCACCTCCACCACCACAACCAATCAGGCTTAATATCCAAATCTAGTTACAACATGTAGAGGTGATGAAAAGTTCTTGGACTGGTGTTTGGTCAGATTTTGGGAAGTGGGTCAAGCCAAAAACATTTCAGCACCCCTTAGCATACTGGTTTACTGGCTAAAGATAAGTTCATTTTATAACAGTGACAGATTTTGTCAGATTTTGAGATGAATTGTTAATATTCTATGATTTTTTGTTCTTGTTTTTGAACCATGTTTCAGCCTGTTTATTCTCCAGGCATCTTCAGGTGGAATTCTACCAGAAGAATACTCCAGATGGAATAGTCACTCACTATCTACTGTCCTCCTGATTACTCTTTTCTCTTCCCACTCATTAGTAATGTTTCTCTGTGAGGTATTGTAATTATTTATATTATTTACATTATTCGGACTGTTGTCCTCATCTTTATTGCCATATTTACTGGCTAAATATAAGTTCACTTTATAACAGTGACAGATTTTGAGATGAATTGTTAATATTCTATGATTTTTTGTTCTTGTTTTTGAATCATGATTTTGAACTCATCTTTATTGCCATATTCATGACATTTTGGCTGTTCTAGGCTACAGCCTTCTTCAGATGATTAGAATTTCAAACTGGACCCTTTATTTCATCCACCAGGGTAGATTGTTCTAGTTCCACATGCTATGCCTCTTCCATATGTCTCAGTTACCTCCCTTTAATTCAACTCTCCAAGTTTTGGTTCACCACTGCCGTAGCCAGATATTGAACTTACAACTCTTTTTCAATAACTAGATCCAACCAAAACTTTTATCGACTGGGCCATGTGTGCCCTTGTGAAATTCCAATCACCTGAAGAATGGCCGAGCATAGAACAACAAAAATATCATGAATATGGCAATGAGGATGCGGCAACAGTCTGAACAATGTAAATAATGTAAGTAATGTTTCTGTTCCTAATTCTTCCACACCCAGTAACCCTTTGTCTTAGTGACTTTATTACCTTGCTTGGTGTGAAACTGATTAATATATATATATATATATATATATATATATATATATATATATAGATATATGTGTGTTTATGTGTGCATTTCTTAAAGAGGTCAATAGAATTTTGGTTGACTGAAATTCTTCTATGGCTGAGTATTTTAAAAGTATGCTGGTGGTTTCCTGTTACAGTGTAGAGGGGGTGGGTTCAAACCTTGTTGGAAGGTAATTTTTTTTTATTAAAACACTCAAATGCACAGGCTGGTAGACATAGATTTACACTATTTAAAAACAGGGATCTCTATTCAAACATGTGTATACACTAAATATAATGTTTAAAGTAATAAGAAATATATATATATATATATATATATATATATATATATATATATTACTAAAACGTTATTTTTATTGGATACTCATATTTGAGTAGAGGCTCCATTTATTTATTAACCAGTATATTTATTTACCAGCCTGAATATTTGAGAGATCTGTCAGATTAATAAATAAAAAATTCATCCCTTTTCTTTAACCTAAGTCTCTGCTTTCATCATTATATATATATATATATATATATATATATATATATATATATATATATATAGAGAGAGAGAGAGAGAGAGAGAGAGAGAGAGAGTGAGTAGTGTCGCTGACAAATGATGACCCTGAAATCAGATATTAATTCAGGCCCAAAAAGGCACACCTAAGGAGACCTTCTGGGTTTTTAGTCATGTTTCTATAGAAAAAAAAAAAAGTATTTCCCAGAAGTTCATCTCTTTATATTTAATTACCTTATTTAGCACAAAGTGAATGAAATGAAATTGAGCAGGAAATAAATTTTCCATGCCTAATTCACTATCTACACTGATGGCAATACACGATCTGTGCATCCTCATTTGTCAATACATATGAACAATTCATTGGAATCATACACTCACATATAGATTTATATCTTAATAAAGAAGCATTTATAATCATGATGGAATTCAGTTTGTTGTCAATGGGAAGGGTGTATGTCACTTACCCTTTGTAAAAAGCAATGGGTCCTCCTTCTTTGTACATTTTCGCAGCACAGTTAAACACGCTTTTATACTGTCCTTGCTTGGAGTTCATGAAACGAGTCTTTACTACATCGACAGGTGAGGCGATCACTGTAGCACAGAATCCGGCCCCAAATGCTGACACAAAATGACATGGCAGATTGTCATTCAGTATATTCCTGGTGAGGATGAAGTCTTTGAGAATGTCATAAGTCACAAGTTCTGAACAATTGACAACAACATTTCGAGCAATGTTTGGTGTCATTCCTAAAGAACACAAACAGAAAATAAAGAAAGGATTTGTAATAATAAGAACATAAAATAATGATTCAATGAGAAATTAGATGGGCAGAAAGATAGGGGGATGCAAAAGTAGGTATACAGTAAATATTTACCAGTATTATAATAGTGGTTCTAGGATTCATTTAATACTAAAAGTCATTTAATTCATTAAAATCATTTTTATTATCTTTATTTTCATGATTTTTATTATAATAACATTTATTATAACATTTATTTTTTAATAAATAATAATAATACATGTTTTGCAGGTAAAGAGAAATGTGATGGAGACAAACAGTTTGAATATTTGAGGGGGTGATATGTTTATTATTGATATAGTGTTATAAAAACCTGTGAGAATTCCAGTAAGATATCTTTAATCATTTCTAAGATACGGCTTAATCTAACAACTGGACACTTTTGATGTTACACCTGGTATATATATATACACAAATAATGACAGAACATATGGAGTAAAAGTCTACAGTTTGTAACATGTACTTTATTTATATATATATATATATATATATATATATATATTTATATTATCTACCATTGCCTGATGAAGTACATAGTATTGAAACATAAAAGCTTTTTTGTGTAGTGATGTAATACATTTTTATTATAATCTATGATATATATATATATATATATATATATATATATATATATATATATATATATATATATATATAAATTGTGTATTTAGGCAGCAATCCTTCATTTATGCATGTTTCATTAAAAATGACAGACAAGTTATTACGATTAACCTTTTTTCAAATGTTTCTTGTGTTTGAACAAGTGTTTTCTTTTTTGGACACAGAGTGTGTAGAAACTGTCTGTCCAAATGTTCTATAATTCCCAGGGCTATACTTTTAGCCATTATCAAGGATGATTTTATTTTTTCAGTTTAATTGAGTGTGTGAATTGTGTGTATGTTTTAAGTGTTGTAGAGATATTTATTTTTCAAACACAGTTAGCACATTGTGGCCATGTTTGTTAATATTATTAACTCAATTAAACTGAAAAAATAAAATCATCCTTGATAATGGCTAAAAGTATAGCCAAAAGCACTCAGAATTATAGAACATTTGGACAGTTTCTGTGTCCCAAAAAAGAAATATATATATATATATATATATATATACGGGTGCTGGTAAATTAGGTATACAGTAAATATTATACCAATATTATCTGTATTATAAAAATGATTCTAGGATTCAATTAATGCTAGAATTTATTTAATTCATTAAAATCATTTTTAATATTTTTATTTTCATGATATTACATTTATTATAATTTTAATTTTTTAATACATAATAATAATAATAAATAAATGTTTTGCATGTAAAGAGGAGAGGAGTATGTGAATGACGGGTCAAAATTTTGAACATTTGAGAGATTGATATGTTTATTATTGATATGTTTATATAATGAGTACAATATGCTTTGTGTGCATGTTTTGTTTTTCATTACTGTATTGCACGCCCCCCTCCCCCCATATACACCATTAATGATTTTGTTTGGCTGATTTTGTTTAGCAGCATATCAACCTCTATGGGTTATTTAATGCCGAAATCTAAATATTGTGAACATAGTTTTATGGCTTCAACTACAGATAAATGTATTGTTGGTCACTGTGCTATAAAATGTATTGCTGGTATTTTTAGTATAAAAATGTAATTTTGGAGTGTTCACTATTTACCAATAACAAGGACCCTAACAGGTGCTACCACCCCGGGGTCAGGGTGGGCCTTGGAACAACAGCAATTAAGGGGTGGTTCTGTGCTCCTCAAAATCTCCAATCTCCCAATCAGTGGCCTTGCTGTGGGATGTAGTTTAACATCATACACAAGACTAACCAGAAATGACAAATTAAAACTGACAATATATATTAAAAATGTGGGAATATGCACTTTAGTACATTATTGATATATGTGTATTTCATATCTGCAATCTCTCTAATTTTTTTAGCCATTGAGCACAACTATTTTAATTTTTCCTCATTTGAGCTCTGACGAGAGAGGTATGAGAACCAATTAGTTTTTTCAATTTTTTTTTTCTCCCTCTTTCTTGATATATATTTCGTTTTTGATTTAGTATTCATGGGGATTATATTTTTGCCACTAATGAAATAAAATTCTACTTACCTTTCCATAGTCCTCGGATTCCTTCTGTTAAAGCAATTGTCCGATATGCATGCAGGGTGCCATTATATCGAGCGGGAACACCAGCTCTCTGGGCCTGCATACGTACTTTTACAACATCTGTGGGTTGGGCCACCATGATGGCAAGGGCCCCTGTAGTAATGCCTGCTGTCATTCGAGCAACAAACGATGGCTTTTGAGGATCTGGAATGAATGACATTTGGGAAGGCACCCGTTTAAATTACAGATTGTTGTTGAAATAAAGAGTAAAATAGAAAATAGGAAAACTATTTAATTCTATTAAGAAAACAAACATCCTTCTTTGGAATCCAAATATTCACCAAACAGAACAAGAAAAGAAGAAAAAAATAAAACCATCAAAATTTTTTTTTTCTAAGAAATCTTTTTTTATATATACACATGTGAATTCCCAAGCAAACATGTACATACACGGTTACAGTCATGTACACCATTTTTTTTTGATTTGCAACTTCCCATTTTCATCGAGCACTCTGTGTTGTAATGATTACCAAGCTTGTCTTACAAGAACAATTATAACTGAATCATGAGTTTGATCCTAACTGGGTGCCTAATATTTTCGGCCTTGTGTAACATCTAAGCTACACTTAGAAAATCAGCTTCTTTCTATTCTCATTGCTTAGATCTGGGAATATAGACAACTATTACGGTTTTTAATTCGGAGTTTTCCTTATCTTAGAGTGGTTGCCAACCATGTCCAGCAAACTCAATCTGCTTTGCTATTTAGCCCATAGTTGGGGGAGAAAAGATGGATTCACACCTTTCCCAAGAGTATTTGCATGAAAGTGAATGTAACAATATTGGCTGGAATTTGAACTTGGCACTCCAATTTCTCAATCCAAGGCACTATCAATTACACCACCTGCACATCTCAAGAAGCACATATTAACAAGATAATAATTTAAGATATTTAGGATAAAATTTTAATTAAATATATTTCTCTGGCCTATATATTTCAGATTGATTTAATAAATAAAAATTAATATTGCACTTTGTTTGCACAATAATACCTGACCCCCATAAAATATCCCTATCAAAGTGGTTAATAAAGGTAGACAGAATATCTGCTAATATAGCAGTAACTCAGGTAATGGTAATATTAGACGTTTCCCTATAAGGAAATATTTGGCATTAATTAACTGAAAAGCCAGTTTCATTTTTGGTTGAAATTTATAAAATCTTTCTTGTAAAACACTTTTAGGAAAACAGGTTTTTCAAGTCCAGTAGCTGTTATTGCTCTTTTCAGTATTGATGGGGGTTTCCTTCCAAACTTTCTATTTGAAGTCGTGTGGCATGCTAACATGTTATTGTTCATATAAATATACCTATATCTTGAAAATTTTACTCACATTGGTTGGTTGATACCAATTTCAGTGTGAAAACATTAAATTTGTATAATAAAGTCTGCTATAGTGTATGACTAATTAAATATATTTATATACATGTATATTTTAAAATATTGAGATTTTGTAGTGAAACTTACTGTTTTTGAAGAGCTTTGTGTAATAATCCCTGAAAACGTCATATGATCCAATTCTGATGGATGCAAAACACATCTGTCTTTGTAAACCGGGAATAATTCCATTATAGAGACCGCGCACACCTTCTTCTTGAATGATAACTCGTATTGTACCAATTGGACCCTTGTATTTAAATACCTGTTCAACAGCTTTTGATGATACACCAAGCTTGCCTGCCTTTGTACCTCTCTCGCCTTGAATCTGATTTGTAAGAGGAAAAAATAAAACATTATTTATAACACAAACGATTTTTCAAGCTAATTATATATGTAAATATATGCATACATATGGAAATCATTTCTATATTTTAATTGTTTGTAATGCATTTTCTTAATGTATTGTGCTAGACAATTTTTCTCTACAGAATCTATTATACACATTTATAAGTCTACCATTCGCCCATGCATTGAATATTGCTGCTAAATCAGTCTGGTGCTTCTGCTATGTATTTAGATTCTTGATAAAATCCAAAGAAGAATCTGCAATGTTATTGGTCCTGACCTGGCATCTCAGATTTAGTCACTTTCTCATCGCTGTAACAGCTTCCCTGTGACTTTTCTATAAATACTTTCATGCTAATTGTTCTGATGATTTTTCCTCTTTGGTACAAATTTTACATATAGGAAGTAGTTAAAACTTTATAGAGACTTTGTGGTATTATGGTGGCCGTAGTAAGAATGGTAAGAAAGAATGTGTTGTTTTGGTGTAAGGAATACTGTGGTATGTTTGGGTCAGTAATCATGGCTAGCTAAGTTTAACATAAAGCATATTCAAGACCAGCCATCTCTTATCCCCCCCTCTTTTGGCCTTGTGCCACACTTTTGTATTTTTCAGAATAAATATTGCTTCCCTCTTTGGTACCTTGACTTTATGAATTTAAGTGTAGTATTAGATTGGTGGCAAGGTCTCATCAACTTACAGTTGGAATGGCTTTACGTAACTGTAATTTCTATATTAACAATTTCTTCTCGTGTGTGGAACTCTCTTTTTGTTTCTTATTTCAACTTTGATCTTCAAAAATTTAAATGCAATGTCAATTGGTTACTTCTGCCTTCTTAATTCCTGTTTTATTGTTTTCTCTCCTTAATAATGTTTTCTTTTTCTTGTATTCTCTCACACTCAGTAACCCCTTGCATCTTAGTGGCTTTGTCTTGCTTGGGGCGAAATGATTAAAAAAATAAAATAAAAATAATACAAAACATTATTAAATTAAGCTGAATACATTTCATCAATAAATTATTTTCTTTACCTTTGTGAGTAGATTATTTATGTATTTCTTGAATAAATTATCTGTCGTCTAATTCTATAGTCATTGACTTACACTTCTATTAATGGCTATGTTGGATAATTGCAAACTTACCATCTTTGATTTTCTAAGAATTACAATGTGAAATTTCTATACAAGATTACTTGTGATTTATTTTGGTAAATAAAATTAAATTAACATATTCACTGTTACTTCGGCTATTTGAACCCTTACGCAAAGCCATCAATGTTATTGTTAAAGTTACCATTAGAAATTGCTATATAAGATTATTTATACTCCCCCTCCCCCATTTTTAAATAGCAGGTAAGACAGGGCTCTCTAGCCAGTCTAAAAAAATTCATTTTCTTATTAAGCCTTTGCAAGTTATTTAAAGCCAGAAAATATTTTACATTGTAAGTATTTTTTAGAGATAATAATGATTTTAGTTATACAAGTCTTACTAATTAATCCATAGCTAGGGAGAAAAGAGTTGGATTCCTACCTCTCTCAAGGGCATTTGCACATAAGTGAATATAACAAGCCCAACTAGAAGTGGAACTCAGATTAACAATTCCAAGACATTATTGATTACACCACCTGCACATCTAACCTTACAGCAACTGGTATTCCCTAGCCTTTACCTACCAAGTCTAAGAAAAGGACAATTCTGAATGCAAAACCATGGAGAAGGCAATGGGAAACAATTCCACTATCTTTACCAAGAATACATGGCAATTCACAGATAATAAAGAAAAAGAAGCTGTGGAGAGTCATGATCACTTACATCCTGAAGAGACATGGTATTAACCTTTAGCACTCTGCATTATTAATATTACTTCCTTTTCCACTGCATTCTTTTTCAAGACTTCTCAACTGCAGTTTTCCTTATTCTTAATTTCACTCAATGCCATAGCAGGATATGACAACACAACTATGAAATTCAAACACTATTGTTCAGGGACCAGAATCATCTTCAGTGGAAGGGTGAACATTTTTACAGCAAATGAAGCCACAAAGTGATAAAGGTTAAAAAAAGAATGCTTTATTTGAATAAATAAAATTAAATTTTATTAAACTATAAAGGATAATGTTACTGTGTGTGTCCTTGGCTATATTTTTTGAGTGCCATGTAAGGCATATATGCATCAGAAGCATTATATGTGCAGCAAGACATGTGTTTGTTGAGAAACAGTAAATATGTTACCTACTTATAAATCATTATTTGTAATGCCTCTCAAAAAAAATAAACAATTTGTAGTTAGGTTCATTGACAAACTATATTCAATGCCTTTGTCAATGATTTATTGACTACCCTCCTACACAAGACAGTTTTTTTTTAAAATTTTTACGAGACTTTACCTAATCTAGCATAATGCTACAATAGTGGGGCACTCAGTGAGGAAATAAAAAAATACTAGAAATGGATTGCTACACAAGCTCCTTAACCATCACAAAAATAGTATTCCATTGGTAAAGAGGAAGTACCATTCAGACAACTTCTGTTTTTGGAACTGAATTCTGAGAGGATGCTTCCCTGAATATTGCAACTTTAACCCCTTCAAGTCTAGGATCAGATGTTATTTATCCTACATATCCTCATAATCTGTACAAACTTACTTCCCTTATGTCCATACAATAACTTTGTTCAGTAATCATCTAAACTCAAGTGACTCTTTGGGTAAACAATTAGTAAAAGAAAAAAAAAAAAAAAAAAAAGGCTTTTTTCTTTCAAATATCTAGATAAATGTTGTAACCTAGGAAAGGTTACTGAATAGAATAATCACGCGAAGGTTGGAAATGAATGATACTACTTAGGACAAGAACAACACATATAAGATTTGCCAGTGGCGCCTAGAAGAAATAGTCAACTGCTAGAAGTGAGTCAAGTGAATTCCACAATGAATCTCCAACTGCAAGATATCTACCAACTGCCCCACGTGGTCAGATATGGCACAAGGCCGAATTTAATGTGGGGGTATCCAAGCCTGTATGCTTGGCCAAAAATTCCTCGTAGACCCCATATAAAATGGGGTTGGATAGCTGTTTCCTGAGACAAGACTCTGCTCTTCGACATAGCCTCATCTGAGGATCCTCTCTGCCCAGAAGCAGAGTTTGACGAGCACAGCTGGAGACGAATCTCCAACTGCAGACCAACATACAGTATTTACTACTGTATTTATGTGAATGTGGACATACCCATTATCATCTGTAGATATGTTACAACATTAAATTAACAATTTTTTTTGTGACATAAAAACTTTTTATGGCATAAAGGCTTAGAAAACATTTTTTCTGACAATGTTTTGTGACATAAAATTCTTTTGTAGCATAAAGGCTTAGGAAACATTTTTTGTGATATAAAATTGTTTTTGTGGCATAAAGGCTTAGAAAACAATGCATATTTATGCCAAATTAATTCATTGAAAAATTAACTGAAAAGTTTTGTATTTTTGAAGTTTTATGATGAATATCATAAAGTTAGGATTGTGTTTTTATATTTTTTTTTTAAATAAAGGAATAAAGAGAAACTAAAAAACGTATGTTAGTTCAATAATAAATTGGCCAATTCAAATGCATGTGGAAAAAAATATTAAAAATTAATTAAATTCTGGAAACTCACCTGTAACCGTACTTTGGCTGTGTCTAGTGGAAATGTAATAAGATCAGCAAAACAAGCAGCTAGGCCTGCACTAAAAAATTTTGTTCCAAATGAATGATCCATAACTGCTGGGTTGGAACCTGAGGCGACCATTTTGAATGGTAAAGACAGATAACTCCCGTTCGTTCTGAATCTTTTGTAATCAGCTGAAGCAACAACGGCAAACAAAGAGGCAAGCTGTTTTAGCAAGCCTTAATTAGATAAACTAGAAAAAAAGAAAAAAATGAAATGTTACAGAAACATTATCACTTGATTTTTCCATTATTATCATCATCACCATTATTATTATTATCATCACCATTATTATTATTTTCATTATTATTACTCCTATCACTAGATACTTAGCCTAGCACAAGGCTAATTAATGGACCATATTCATTTGTTTGTAATTGAATTGTTCTAAGTTTCATTTGGAAGAAAGTAAATACTCTTACTCTGTTTGCAGGGTGGGGCAATAGGAGTGGGGGCAAATATTTTGGTTGACATGATTCTGGGTATCGGCTTCTAATTCTAATCTTCATGAAGTTAGAAATGGAAAATTAGATGATTAATTAATTATTATTGTCTGAAAAATAATTAAATTAAATTATTGTTATTCTATCATTATTATAATCAATATTTGTTGGAGTAAGACAAGTTTGGCACAAAATAATATTTGATATTAAGCACCTAGTGAGAAACAGACTCATTTGCAAAGAGTTGCATTATTACAAGTGAAAAAATAAAAGTGACAGAGAGATAGAGAGAGAAGAGGGAAACAGGGATGACAGAGAAGAAGGAGGAGGTGACAGAGAGAGAGAGAGAGAGGTACTAGAGAACGTGGGACAGAAAGGGTAGTAACACAGAGGCAGAGAGGGAGGTTACAGAGAAATAGAGAAAGGAGACACAGACTAAAACAGATAGAGAGGGACGGGTCACAGAGAAAGAGAGATAGAGAGGGAGATGACAAAAAGAAAAAGAAACAAAGAAAGAGAGGGAGGTGACACAGAAAGAGAAAGAGTGGCCACATAAAGAGAAAAAGAGTGGTGACTGAAAGGAAAAAAGAGGCAAAGAAATGGGAATGAAGAGACAGAGGAAAGTGAGAGAGTGGAAGGATTAAGATTAGACATGTAGAGAGGAGAAATTAAAAAAGGAAGGAGAGAGAGAGAGAGAGAAGGAGAAGACTTCAAATAACATCTTACCTTTCAACAAAGTGATCCTTACAAGGAGAAGTATTAGAAAAACGAAAACTGAATGTTAAATTATGACTTCTCTGATTGGACATCAGGTTACTCAACCGTACAACAGTAGCTTTTGTAGTTTTGGTATTTTTTGTGTGGATCCCTTTGTGCATAATGTAATTGTGGTTATCTATAAAAGAACAAAGAAAAAAAAATAACAGTGCATTAACTCGTGTAATAATTCATTTAGTGCATGTCACACACTGATATTAATCACTTCTCAATAAAAGGCATGGCAAAGCTACATTCTTTAGACCCACCAGTTGAGTCTTTTACAATTATAACCCACTATGCTATGTATGCAGAGTTGAACTATCTCCGTTCCTTTTGTATTCCATTTGTAAGAAGGAAGTTCCACTCAGACAGTTTCTTCCCAAGAACTGCTGCTTTGTGGAACAGACTCCTGAGAGGAAGCTTCCCTAATCACTACAATTTTAATCTCTTCAAGACTAGGGTCAACCATCATCTATCCTCTAATTTCCATGGAGCGAACATGTGAGTAACGATGAAGTTTTAGAGAACATAGAAACAAAAAGAAAACTTATACTTAGAATCAGGAGAAGACAGTTGAAAATTTTGGGGCACATAATGATGAAAGAGGGCTTGAAAAATCTGATACTCGTCATGGGACAGATAGAGAGCAAGAAGGACAGAGGAAAACAATGCATCATACTTAATGAGCTTGATTGAATGGAGGGCAGAACAGAGCTTAGGAGATGTAGCAGAAAGACAAAATTCATTAAAGAGCTACAAGGGACAGGAAGTTGTGGAGAGCCATAATTGCCTACATCCTGAGGGGACATGTCACATAAGAACACTGTATACTTACATTCTGCTCTATGTCCTTACAATCTCATTCAGTAAACCCCTACTTTGAGTGGATCAACAAATTTAAACATTGGAATATTTACTAAGCTTAGCTTGGTCCAAAAGTGAAACATGCAAGTACTTACTATATATATATATATATATATATAAAATCTAGTGACTACTTTTCTCTATGAGTCACTCTTTTAGATATTTACTAGGTTTTATCTAGTCTGGTACAAAGCCAAAATAGTGGAGAACCCACTGAGGAATATAATCTCTAGAAATCAATTGCTAGACATGTATATCAACCATTTTTATAATGGGCAGCTTGAATTAGCAGAATATATTAACATATCATTTTAAGACAAAAGCATAAAAAATAGTGCATCATTACATAAAATTAATTTATATTATGAATATGGAACACAAACACATAAAAGCATATATGATCAAATATTAATATTAAATATTTTTATTAATTTTATTTTATTTTATTATTTTTATTATTTTATTATTTATTTATTATTTTATAATTTTACTAATATTAAATATTAATATTAAAATTAATATTAAAAGTTTAACAGGTTTTTCTATTTAGATTTTTAGAATTTTGGTGAAAATGGAATAAAAACTTTTTACCTATAGACTCACATATAAAACCAATCAATATTGACCTATAGATCCGCTTATTAACGAGACTGATATTTGCCTATAGATCCACGTATAACCTGACCAATACTGACCTAAAGACTTGCATATAAAACCCAACCGATATTTGCCTATAGATCCGCTTATTAACCTGATTGATATTTACCTCTGGATCCGCATAAAACCTAACCGATATTTGCCTATAGATCCGCTTATTAACCTGATTGATATTTACCTCTGGATCCGCATAAAACCTAACCGATATTTGCCTATAGATCCGCTTATTAACCTGATTGATATTTACCTCTGGATCCGCATAAAACCTAACCGATATTTGCCTATAGATCCGCTTATTAACCTGATTGATATTTACCTCTGGATCCGCATAAAACCTAACCGATATTTGCCTATAGATCCGCTTATTAACCTGATTGATATTTACCTCTGGATCCGCATAAAACCTAACCGATATTTGCCTATAGATCCGCTTATTAACCTGATTGATATTTACCTCTGGATCCGCATAAAACCTAACCGATATTTGCCTATAGACCCACATATAAACCCAACTGCTATTTACCTATGGACCCACACATAAACCAGACCAATATTTACCTATAGACCTATGTATAAACCCAACAAATATACTCATGAATAAACACAAGCAGTTTTTACCTACAGACTCAAGTATAAGCATAACAAATGTTTACAGATTAAATTGAATATAAGAAACAGATTTCAACCTTAAATAATGCAATGGTGGTTGACTGATATGTCATAAAATCCACCACTCCAACCCAAAACTAGTATATGAAAATCTCATAATAGTAAAAGCTTAGCAAATCATGACATAAGTTAAAACTAGTTTACAGTTAGAGACGCAATGACACCAAAAATTCATATCACGATCAGCATGACTGAGATAATACCAGTTGTCTGTATTGTGTAATTTGTGAAATGTGCTGAAAATATTTAAAAAGGACTCACACACTAAAACTCATTTCAACAAATCAATTAGCAACACTAAGAACATCTTTTTGTAATGACAATAATAACATTTTTTAAAGACTATAATAAAATTTTAATTGATATTACTAAACGTTGGGAATTTTATCAGGGTTTATTGTAAAATCAGCAACATTCTGTTACATTTATTTAAAATAATCAGCTTAAAAATGCAAAAGGAGAATTTTTTTTTTAAAACATCCATTGAATAATTTAAAATTAAAATCATTTAAAAATACAAACAACTTGCTTTCTTTTTTTATTTTCATCCTCTCTTTTTCTCCTTATCACTCTCTCACTTACTTCCTGTTTCTCTCTTTATTTCTCTCACTTTTTTCTTTGTCACTTTTTATTACTCTTTTCATTCTCTCTCTCTCTCTCAAAAGCAATCAGCTCTTTTACCACAACTGCCGCATTCTCATCTTCCTGTCCCTTGCCTACCTGTCTATTTACTGACCAAATCTGAAAAACATCAATAATCATGAAATGGATTACTGGCAGATCTAAGAGGTCAGTGTAGTTACTATCCACAAACTGTATAACACCATCGTAGCTATGACAGATTTAAACAATAAAAAAAAAAAGAGAAGAAAATAGCTAGGTTTGCTGACAATTCATATTCAATATTTTTACATGGAACAAATCAATTCTAACATGAAATAACATTTCCAGAATATCAACCCAATTTCTTATTTGCTAACCAACTACAACATCATTTTACACGTATTTTCTTTTAAGAGAAAGACAAAAATAGAAAGAGTTTAACATTCTGATAATTTCCTGAGTTTGCTTCACACAAACATCTTTTATACAGTGTAACCCGGATATAAGAGAGTTGTCGGGACCGGAGAATAAGTCTCTTATATCCGGGTTTCTCTTATATCCGGGTTTGGTCTATTTTGTTTAGGTACGTATGGGAACACTTTGGGACCAGAGAAAATCTCTTATATCCGGGTTTTTCTTATATCCGTGTTATACTGTAAATGGTAAAAATCTGTTGCTTTTTTTCTTTTGTTTTTAATCTAAGTGTTGTCATGTTATCATGTTTTTAGCATAGAACAAGTTTGAAATTTGTTTGGAGTCAATGAGTAGCATAAATTTCAGAGTTTAGGCAGAGATGTTAGAAGTATAGAGTTGAAGTAGAATTTAGAAGGATCTGTAAACCTAATCATAAACAAAAAACATAGGATAAACCTCTACTCCTGTTCAAAAAACACAGTAGGAGTGTTAACTGGAGTCAATAAAAACCAAGTTTCTTTAAATGTTGCATTAACGTTTTGTTTTTTAATCTAATTGTTGACTCGTTATAATTTTTTAAGCATAGAACAAGTTTGAAATTTGTTTGACGTCAACAAGTAGTGCTTTTTATGTAGTACATTAAAAAATCAATTTACCCCAAGGATGGTGATA